TTTTTTTTTTTTTATTTTTTTCGCGTTCTTATTTTGATAAGAATTGAGATTTGGTATATATTTTTTTTATACATTTTTACAGATGATAATGGCTATTGGACGTATCTGGGATCGTTGACGACACCACCTTGCAACGAAAGCGTTACTTGGATCCTCTTTAAAAAATGCATCGAAGTGTCTCATCACCAATTAAATATTTTCCGTAATTTACGTAAATTCTCCCGTGGTGAGGAGTGCCCCTGCCATGAAAATCATGGAGCGGTAAGTGTTTACATAAAATATACACGAATATCTTACATAATTGATCTTTTTGCATTCAAAATTCAATTTTATTTTATTTATTTATTTTTCTGAATTTTCATTAGATCAAAAGATTAATCTTTCTATCATTGGATCTCTCATCCGAAACATTTAGTTTTAAAGTTAAATAAAATTTTGATTCAAATCTCAAAGATCTCTTATACCAATATAAAATATTTATAGCAACAATGATTGATTCATAGCAGTATAACAAACGAACAGTTCATTCGTTTATTTATATCAACGTGGAAAATTTTCATTAAACCATGGACTGCTAATATTTTTTTTTCTCAACAGATTTATTTCGTTCTTCAAGGCGTTTCCTTCTTTGTTTCTATAAATTAGCGACTTAAGCATAAAACAAAGAAACTCTATTAACTAAAGTAGATAATGTTAAAATATTCGCAGCAAAAATTTCACAGTATATGAAATCGAAGAATTATATTTTAACATTATTAAATTCTCCTATGTACAAAATTCTAGAAATCAATTTTGACAAATTTCAAGTAAAATTCAACAATTCTTCTCCACTCTTTTTATTTCCTCATTATTTATAAAAATAAAATTTAATTAAATCATAAATTTTCGTCCAGGAAGACGGAACGAAACGCCTATCATCAAACACCTACCCTCTTACTTCGATTAATCTTCCTTTCTCGCGAGGGTGTCGCCATTTCACCTACCTTTTTCCTTCCTCTTCTCTCTCCCCACCTTATCCCCTTCCTTTTATTTTTATCGCGTCGCGTCAATGTCCGTTCATGAAAATGAATGAATTCTCAATCGGCGGAATCACGGTCCCGCTTTTCCTAATTCAGCCGCTTTTGTGTTGCAGGTAATCAACAACTTCCGTCCACCGATGCCGCTCGGAAATCGCGTGTTGCGCGAGTGCGGCAGCTTCTGAGCCTGTTCCCTCACGATGATGCATCGAGATCAGTCGATATCTGGCGAAAAACGGCGGGAGAGAAGCGAAACGGCCGCCATCATGGTTGACCATGGAGCGGCCGTGATGACCCCTCAAAGTATGCTCGCGAGCCATGCATCGTCGTTCAACCTTCATTCTGTATCGTGGACCTTTCTCGCCGGGATAACTAAGTGCCTTCTTTGTCTGTCGAGGATTTCCGGAATGGTGGTCGGAAGGAGGGAGAACGAAGGACGAGAAAAGATTTTCTGCGGGAAGAGTGGTGGATAGAGAAGCGTGTTTCTATCTCTAGAAGCGTGTGGATATGTTCCTTGAGAAATTTTAATATATAAGATCGAATTTTAAGTAAGATATATGATCGATTGTGAATAGTTGATATATGCTGTCCATATTTCAACGAGATTTTTAATTCATTTTAATCAATATATGATAAATGTTACTTATTAGAAAGATAGAAGGATTATTGTATTAAATATTATAGGTTGTTGAATTTAAATTGAATTTTAAATGAATCGTAAAAAACAAACTATGATAAGTATGATAGAAATCAATGGACAGTAATAAAATTATAAAAAAAGGCAAAAGAATCGTATAACGGATGAAATTTGAGAATGATTTCGAAGGCATTATGACATAGTTCGATGAATAAGTTTAGATAGTTATACATGCGTGACTTATATGTACGAGTCCAATAGATATATTGATATTCTGTTGTTTGTTCACGATCTCGATGATAATCGCAAAAGAATCAAATATGAGAGCATTTCACCTCGATTCTAAGTGCAATTAAAACGTAGCTGAAATAAGAGAATTTTCGCTTGACTATCATAGAATAGGGACTAAATATTTAGTTGGAGAATTTTGCGACTGCTTGTTTTAACAAATTAAAAATAAGACGTGCCTATATATATATATTCATTCATACTAATGCAGAACGTATACACTCGAATTATAGCAGACAATTTTTGTCGAAAATTTTTAAATTAAAATTTTTCAAATAATTTTTCAAATTTACAATAAATTCTAGAGAAAGATCCGTCCATTATTGGTCGATTCTCGATGGAACTAAAAAACAGAACAGATGTTGTTTAATTCTGTGTGATAATTATATAATATAAATAATTATATATATAAATATATACTTATACGTTTACACGTATATAAGAGTGTGACGTTCATAATCGATGTTTGCGGTTTGAATAGTTTGTAAATGTTCACGAGGATGTCGAGTGACAAACATTGATCCTCCATTGATAGGGTAAAATTTAAATTGTTGTTGAATTATAATTTGAGAAATGCATTAATTTCTGAAGAATTATAAATTTAAGATTTGGAATTTTTAATCTTAAACTTTTTCATTTTTTTTTTCAAATTTTGAATTTTTAAATTTTAAACATATCAAATTTGTAAATTTTAAATCTATGAATAAACTCAAATCTATTAAAATTTTTAACTTTTAAATGTTTCACTTTGAAATTTAAATTTTTAATTATGCATTTTTTATGCAAAAATTTTTAATTATAAAATTTTTATTAAATTATTTATTTCAATAATTCAATAATGTTCTTACATTGTTAAGTTCAAATACAGAATGTTTAAAGAATACATTTTTAGATACGGTTAGACGAGCATAAATAGAGGTGTCATTTTATATTTTCCACGTGATAATTACGATCTTCCTTCTAAGTTTTTCATATATAAGCGAAACGCTGACTCGACATGTCTCAGACTATGCACGCCTATGTGCCTTTTTAATCACCTGTGTGAAATAACTATTGTATAATGTCGTTAATATTAACTTTGATGTTTGAGATTATTGATAATTTCAAACATAGTTATCCTTTTTGCATATTGCAATTTTCTTTTGTAACAGATGCTTTCATCGCGATGACATCTTGTTTATTTTTTCTTTTTTCTTTTTTGTTATATTATTTAATCAAAATCAGGTAACGGTACATAAGTGGGTATAATCTGATATATCAAAAATTTTCAGAATTTTCAATTTGCATGGAATTATAAAAAAAAAATTCAAATTTATATATTATTATACCCGATTCTGATTAAATACATTTATGTAATCATCGGTCAGAAACTTTAAATAGTCTTCTTTATAGAATAACGAGTGTCAGCTTTCAATATGTTAGTTAAATGCTGAAAGTTTTATTCTTCCTTTCATCCTTATTTTCTTCTGAAACTTCTTATATTTTTGCGATTAATGAATTTAATCTGGATATAATCTGGATATGGAAAATGTTAAGTAATGTTCGTTCCCTGAGTTTTCATCTTTCTTATATATTTATTGTTGTACATGTGAGAAGCAATCTGTATATGTATTTCGTAGCATCGACTGTGATAAAAGAAATGTAAGAAAAATGGTAATAAAGAATCGTGGGAGATCTCGCGATAATAATACATTTATATATTGAATTTTAATTTGCAAATCCTAAAATTATATAAAGTTTATTTATAAATTATAAATTAATTTACGATAAATTGAAGATATTAAATTTTGTCGTATACTATTATGAGTAAAAAAATATAGAGATTGTAAATTAAAAAGTTTTGTTTTAAAAAATTTTATGATCGAGTTAAGGAAAAGATTCAACATGTTTATGATGTGTTATAAAAGTGCAGCGACGAGTTTCTACCGTTAATTTTATGGTATGATACACGTCCACCTGAAAACCGGTTAGAGTGGTCGAGTGCGTGCTAGGATTTTTGATTGGATGATTATTGCATGCCCGCATCTTTGAAAAGACTTGGTCACGCAAGACAAGTATAGACAAAGAAAGGAAATAGTGGAAAAAGGATAGAGATAAAGTAAAAATATTGAAATCAGCGCCATCTGTAGAGTGCCGCAAATGAAACATATAAATAAAGGACAGAAAACAGTAAGACAAAGATAGAGATAAGAATTGACCATCAGTGCCATCTTTTGAGTACCAAAAATATCTCTTTAAAGATAGGATAAAGTAGAATAAGAATTGACCATTAGTGCCATCTTTTGAGTATCAATGATATCTCTTTAAAGATAGGGTAAAGTAGAGTAAGAATTAACCACCAGTGCCATCTTTTGAGTATCAAAGATATCTCTTTAAAGATAGGGTAAAGTAGAGTAAGAATTGACAACTAAGGCCATCTTTTGAAAAGTTTTAAAATTTGAAATATTTTTAATTCTCGATATTTTTAAATAGCGTTCGATGTATAACTTTCTCATTTAATAAATATATGTAGTTCGTGAATTCATTCGTTTCAAATGATATTGATAATAATATAAATTTTAAATAAATATTGAATATTTTTATATAAATTATTTAAACTTCATGATTTTTAATATTATATAATTGATTTATTATTTTTTTACTTTTATTAATATAATAGAATTATAAATAAATTTATAATTTATCAAATTTACCAAAACTTTTAAAATTTATTATATATTAATATATTATATAATATTACTTTAATTATTTAATTGAAATGATAAATAATAAATAGAATAATTTATAAAAATTTTTTTTCATTAATAATAATTATATTGTATATTCTTTCAATGTTATAATATTATTTATTTTATTTGCATTTAATTAAATCTTTAATTTATTAAATTATTAATATAATAATAATAATTTAAATAATAATTTGCGCATATTAATTCAATATCGACAAAGCTTCCATCGACGTTCTTCAAGCGTCGAAAAATGAATTCTCTTACTAGAAGAACATGATCGTAAAGAAGGTTTCACGATATCTCCTTCACTCCTATTATCCTATTTCTGTATGACTAACTTTCTTATTAGGAAAACATAATTTTATAAGAGAATAAAATATCATGATACATTCTTATGTTTTCCTATTATTCTTGTTTCTCGATTTTCTTATTAGGAAAATATATTTCGATAAGAAGTTATCAAAATGTTTCTTATATTTTATATTATCCTATTATCATTATTAGAAAAGTCTTTAAGAATGCTCAGTAGATCTAGAAAACAACGTTATATATTATATTAAAAAAAATATACAATTATCAAAATCATTTAAAAATTTTTTTAAATATAAATATAATAAAAAGTATTTCAAGTATTCCTTAGTAGAAAAATGATACAAATATATTTCATTTAAATAGAATAAGTATAGATAATTAAATATGAAATTCATATTGATAAAAAAATAATAAATATCTATATAAATTTTTTCGTTTTATAATATAAATATTTTTTTCATAGTTTTTCATAGTAATTTTACATGTATTTTTCTTAAATTAAAATTTATTTTCTTTTTCTGATTTTAATTGTTTTAATTATAAGATTGTTTTAATTTATTTCTGGTTTTTGTGTTGAAAAGGAGGAAGAACAATAAAACAGCGACAATTTTATCGTAAATATTTCTTAATATATTTATTTTTCGATTCATTTTCAATGTGACTACACAATAACAATAACATACAAATAATTTCTTAAGGCTTTTATAATTTTCAAAGCTTTTTATCATTTTACATATTCAGATGACAATCGAATAGCGAATATTGTCAAAAATCACAGATACTTTTTATTCGATTTGTCCCACTCATTTCCGATTTTGGAAGAACGTGCATCACAAAACGATTTTCGCATGAAGCTCATAGCAAAACTTAAAGGAATTCATTTAAGTTGCTATAATTTATTTACAAAATGACAAATTACAAATACGACATTCGAAAATGCAAAATTAAAAAAAAAATGGAAGATTATAAATATTCTTGATTGATTAAAAACGATTATTTTAAACATGATTTTGATCGTTTTATTCTTTTCTTCTTGTGTAAACAATTAATAGAAAAATTCTTTAATCGATTTTTATGTAATAATAATATAAAAAGAACGAATGTAACTCAAATAAAAAGAAAGAAAAGAATAAAACCATTCATCTATTCTTACTGGAATAATTTTCCAGTTATTTAATAAAATAATTATATTCATTTGGATATAGACGTACGTGCAATGTATTATATTTTCGTTTCCATAAAAAGTTAATCATTGCTGATACAGCAAAATTAATTAGGCGAAATCGCAATATAATCTTCCATGATTTCTCAGGTATTTTTTTCTCTATTACAAGTTTCCGGTTTCTATGCTTAATTTTCACCTTTCAAATAAAATCATGTTATCCATGGAATAATCTATCTTAAAATATTTGCTCTGTTAAAAATCACTTAACACTTTTTCACAAATATCGATATACCTGCAAATTATTTAACAATATAAACTTAACACATGTTAACATTTAATATTGTCTTTAAATCACATCGAGATATGATAATTATCGTAACATTTGAACTATTAATATTATAAAAGATATGCTTGGAACAATTTACACATACAGACGGCGTTGAATAAAATATACATGTAAAATATACACATCGAGCTTACAAAATATATACATATATTCGTATAGGTGTGCCTCTATATCTGTAAATTTTTGAACTTCGTTTATTTGTTTCGTGATTTCGAATAAAAGATTTTGTGACAATTAATTGACACTTTCAAAAATTATTTTTCTGATAGTTTTTTTTTCATAATAATGCATCTTTACAAGAAAAAAAAATATGTACAATTGTATTTTAAACACGAAGATCTAAGAATGCAAATGAAAGAAAAATGTGCATTTTTTTTTTCGAATACTTTTGTGTTGTAAGAATATTATAAAAATAGAAGCAAAATTTTCTATATTATTCTATCAATTTCGAATCCTTAATACTCTTACATAATATATTATAATATAATAAATTTATTGTCGACTATTTTCGTATCTATTCGTTTTTATATATGGCCCCACAATTATACATGGACACACGATAATATTTATAAAAAATAGTACACATACATCGATGATCACTAGACTGTAGATGTTCATATAAATTTTAATAACTATAACTTAAAGAAGAAAATCTTTTGTCAAACTAGAAATATCATAAAAGATATGATTTATTTAAAAATACTAAGTAATACTAACATTCTAAATCTTCTTCTACGTTTTAATGTTAAACACATAAACATTCTTCAGTCTATCGATCACAATTTACAACAATTATAACTACAGTATTGTTTCTTAATACTCATTTTGTACGTGTAGCTACAATATTATTGTCGTCCGTTAGAGGTTATTTAAAACGAAAGAAATTTCTTTTCAAGCTAGAAATAGTCAGACAATGACGATATAATCTAAAGTAGAATTGAATATCTGACGATCTTTAAACTCACTTTCAATTATAGAAGAAAATAGAAGAAAATTCAATTTCAGATAGCTCGTTTATATTAACCTTCGTAATAATTCGTTTTTCCTCGGTCGATTCGAGCAAATTTAATCTCGAATCTCGATCATCTCATAAATCGAGTTTCTTCAATAGCTCGCATATTTCACGCGGTTCTGAATTATCGAATTTATCTTACATCCAATTTTTTGCTTGTGTATTGTGAACTTTGTAAAGTTATAATTTGCTTATAGTAAAAGTAAATTTAAAAAATTTTCATTATTTTACTTAAATTTCAAAAATATTTCATTCTACGACATTCGATCGATATCTTGTGATTAATATTTAATGTGATAAACTATGAAAATTACGTATCGAAGAAATACAATTTCATAGGTTTGTACATAATGAAGACCAAAGTTTAAAAATCTATTGTAAATGGGAACATTTACACAATTTACACAAATAACGAGAATAAATAGATTTTTATCTATCTTTCGTTCATCCTGAAATGTGCAGCATCTCAATATTTTTGTAAGAATCTAATCGTATCAATTATTATTATTATACTATCATTTCTATTATCCACGAAATATTATTTAAATTTCTGACTATTTCATTGACTACTGGTATTATTTTGATATATCAATCATAAAAATGCGAAATTTTTTCATCTTAATTCGCATTATTTGAGGTTTCAGAAAAAGTTCGTTAAACACGTTCATCAGAATCATAAGAGATAATAATACTATATAATGGCTGAAATAAAAAGAAATTTTGGTTTTTCAAACTACATAGACAACGAAACGAAATATCATATCATATTGATTTTTTAAACTATATAAAAATTAGATCTGTAGCTTTATAGTTCTTAATTTTTTTTTTGAAATGCATAAAAGTTTCAAATGTTGTCTACGTGCGAATGGAATTATTTCATGATACTGAAGTGTCATCACAGCACAAAGAAGAAGAAACAATAAGATAGAAATTAAAATGTAAGTGTAAGACAGTGATTCTTTAAATAGTCAATGATTAACCTCGATAATTTATAAATAAATTAGAACTTCTATTTAGTACTTTTAAAACAAAAATAATAAAAAAATAATAAAAATAATATGGAATATTCCAACATAATTTCAGATCTTGAACCATACCCAAAATTATTGTTCGTTTATCTTTATCTACTCTTGTTATTATTTGAGTATACATGTATTCATATGAAATATTATTTTGATATTTTGTCATTTGGCATATTAACCTTTTTAGTTTTGAAACTAATTACATCATATTTTTATGTACTAAGAAATCTATTTTTAAGTGTTATTTAAAAATTGAATTCAATAAAAAAAAATATTATATATGTAAAATATAAAAATATTGAAAAAATATGAAAGAATAAAATAATGATAGTAACAATAATAGATAACATGAGGCAGAGAATTCTATGCAATTTTATCTGACAATTTATCAAAATCAACTATCTTTGGACAACCTATAATAATTCATTTTTTTTATCTATCTTAAAGATATTCATCTTAGGAAAGTCTACATTCGCAATATCATCAATCACAACAAAGACTAGTCGATAATTTTCCAATTTTCTATCTTTCAACCTTCGACCATGGGATTCTTTAAAACTCTCTGTCTTCGAAGATCATTGGGAATGATGATGGTGAGAAACGAACCAAAAGCTAGCGCAATACAGAGGAAAATATTCGCCCAGAAATCACCCCAAACGTGCAAGAAATACCCGTAGATAATCGTGAAGATGATACCGAATATTTGGCACATTGCGTTTAATAGACCAGCGGATGTTCCTTCCGGTTCCGGATATGTTAATTCCGCGGCAAATTCAAAACCCACTGGAAGATAGCCAGTCATAAAGAATCTGAAAAAATATTTTGAGAAGAATTCAAAATCATATTAAAAATTTCATGTAATAAATTAAATTTTTATTATTATTTATGCATGTCCTTATGTATTTTTATTTGTGCAATAGATAAATTATATGAAATTATTAATGCAGATTATGAACTTATAATATTTTTGAGAAAAATTTCAGCTTTTTACAATTTTTTTGTAAATATTAAAAGTGAGAATGAAAAATATTTTTGAAGAATTCATAAATTAGATTTATATAGGATTTATAAAGTATATTGACTAAAGAATAAAATAAAGAGAAAAATAATAATTGAATTTCATTAAATATTCTGAATTCTTAATGAAAATTAAGAAATATGGATTATTCTTACCCTAATATGCCAGCTATTATATAAATGGTGAATATTTGACTGGTGGACATTAGAATGAATGTGAATATAATCATGTCCAAAAAGGAAAAAAGATAAACGCCTGATGTTGTCTCTCTACAAATAAAAAATTTTAAATTAAGACAATTAATCAACGAAAGAAACATAATGTAACTTAATTTTTATATTAAGAAGATTTACTCACTTGAATTTGCGTGTTTTATCGAGCACAATACCACAAATCACAGAACCTAACATACCAGCGCAGATGATGGTCAAACCGATTCTTCCAGCATCTTTTTCATGATTCTGAATTTTTATTACAACGATATAAATAACGATAATAAATAGAAATTTAATAGAGAAATAATATAAATCTTAAAATAGAAAAGAAAAAATAGATATAAAAAATAAAAACTTACAGGAAAATATTGAAGGATTATCTGATTGAGAAGCGTGCTAATGGCATAAAACACGCCTACGTTAATGCCATAACTGAACAATAGTAATAAGTAACCAACATTTGTGATTAGTTTCTTTATGGAAATGAAGAAACTTTTCGATGTTTCGTTCTCTCTCTGAATTTGAGCTTGTGCTTCATTCGGAGGAAGTGGTGGTTTAGACTTAAAAACTAGAGGAAAATATTATTTCAATATATTAATTACAAATTAAAGCCAACATAATATTGAAACCAGAGAATATAAAAATATAGAAAGTTTATTGTTTTCTTTAGACGTTTAGAGAATTTTTTAATATTGAACTTATGATTAGTATACGTACATAGAAGTATAAGGACCAAAATAATAGTGGTAAAAACAGCAACTATGTAGAACATCGCATGCAATCCTCGGCCGATTTGATTAATTTCTTCGCTGTTTTGCACCAACATCGGCGGGAAGAGGAAACCAATTGCTATACCCAGCTGGAAATCAGAGAACGATCATTTTAAATTTTTCTAAATGATAAATAATACAATAGAAAATTTCTATTTCATGTTATTTTCTATAGTTTGAAATTTATATAAATGTCGTAAATTCATCGTGAAATTACTATCATCCAGAGATGCTCGATGTCCATTGTTGTTATTCCAAGGAAGTAAGAGATCATTATTCTTTTCAGCCCATCATGAGCTATGCCAAGAGTTCCGCTCTCGAAAGCTTGTGCTCGAAGAGCGGCAAACTTGGCAGTCACGTCATAAACAGCAAGGTCAACGATCATTTATATCAATTTTGTGATATCTATCGTATATTTCTTTATTAACTATTCATAGCAAATGGCATTGTAATAAAAATTTTATTTAAACCTCATCAGATGTGAAGAGCGATTGATGTACGTCTTCTAAGAATACAATTCCTCTAATCAAACAGAAATACTTCTTCAAATGAAATATTCAAGATTCTCGAACTATAAATCTGTATACTTGGGATAGAAAAAAAAGGTATGTACCTCATATATAAAACATAAACACATATCTTAAGAATCGAATTTCTTTGATTGAAATATTAATAATATTTTTTTCAAATTAAAGATTCTCGGACCATACATCTGTATACTCGAGACCAGAAAAAAATCTATATGAAAGTTGATAAAATAATCTGATCGGTGGTGCACCTTGAATAGATTATCTTCCTACGAGAAGGGGTGATCTATTTGAAATACATAGGTTTAATTTGCTGAATGGGGTCCCAGATCCCCCTCGTACCGCCGCGAAATGAAACGTGGGTGCACGTTACGATTCTGTTTCCCATCTAATCACTACTTCATTCTCCAACGACCCTGTCTCTCGAATTAGAGTTTTACTACACAGGTAATATGCACTCGAGCTCCATTTACGAGCATTTATTTAACAACTATATCGTATATATGTAACTCAAACATCGTGTGGATATGTTCACTTTGTTGGTCTCCATCCAGTTGAAAATTTGGCATTCTATTACTATTGTTTCGAGTAAAGTGATCGTAATTGATGGACGTTGATTTTTGAGACAATAATTGAGACAATGATCTGGTATTATAACGAGGACTCTTTTGGAGGTGAGGAAAGAAAATAGAAAATTAATGAAAGGAGTTTAGAAAAGAGACGTTGCACGAAGTATTCAAGAGTAGGATAATTAATTACTTGTTAAGAGTTGGATCGAATGCTTACTAATTGGAATATGTTCAATGATTGAATTATGCTGAGAGAATATTGAATATCAAAGCTTGCGAAATTATTTTACAAAGAATATTCATTTTGAGTGATCATGCGAAAAGGACATGAAACATCAAAGCTTGGAAATTGTTTAATGGAATCTTTTCGATAACGAGTTAAAGTATTTCACATTAATGATTGAAAAATTATAAAGAAATCGTTTTAATATTTTGTTCTTTTTTATTACTTGTAACAATATTGTAAAATATTCTGTATAAAAAGATAGGTTTGTTTACTTATGTTATTAGAGACATATTAATGGAAATAATGTTATTTTTTTCAGTATAATTTTCCTCAAAAATGAAGCAAGAAATCAAAGTATTTGATTCTATACCTTTTATATATTTTCATATAAAAAATTATCTTTACATTTTAAACATAAATTATTTCTCATATAATTTTATGTGTAAATACAACTTATATATATATGTACGATTATAAACAATATAAAGTTAATTAAAAAATTTACATCTATAACTAACCTGATTTCCAAAAACGCCGATGCTGCACGCGCTGCTGACTTGATTTAAATCGAACCAAACAGCGGCCAAACGAGCTGGAACCGATAAGATGAACGTTTGGCTCACAGCAACGAATGTTTGACCAATGAAGGTAATCCAGAACCGATCTGGACTTACGCTAAACACTTTTATCCAAGAGCCGGTCATCGTTCCGATCGCACCTGTCAAAACGGCGAACCTGAGGCCCTGAAATCGATGATTACGTGAAAAATAATGGAATGAATTCTGAAAAAAACTTATTTTCTGGAAAAAGAAAAATTCTTTCTTTTATAAAGAAATGGTAAACTCTTATCTTTTCTTCGTACTTCGAAATATCAGAAATCTTATTATTAGATATACAAATCTATAATATTTTTTTATGATCCATTAATCTTCAAAGTAATTTGTTTAGATATGGAATCAAGATTTTCTTTTTTCTTGAATATCTTTCAATATCGTTCAACAAGAAAAGAAAATAAAGATAATAATTTAATAAAATGTCTACATCAAGTGTTTTCAAGATCAAGGTTCAGGATTAAGATACGTATCGAGAAAAGAATTAGAAGAATTGATCTGTTAATCTTATGATATATTTCGATACAATAATTTTTTCTATGATTCTCTTATCTTTTATGCAGTGCCAATCCATAATGTAACATTTCTCGAGATAGATATTTTCAATAAAATTGATTAGTTTCAATGGATAAGGAAAAATTAATTGCAATATGGATAAGAAAAATTATTTTTACAGACAGAAAAATATAAAAAGCAGTCAAATAAATAATAATAATAATAATAAATTTAACAACCATACTTACGAATCTATCGAGTAAATAACTTGCTGGAAAGATGAAAGGAATATAAGTTATCATGTATATCATGCTGGTCATATCCACTGAAAAAGTGGATACATTGTAGTATGCCGTAATGATATTTGCAATGATGCTGTATTGAATCCATTGCATCGAGTTGCTAGCGCTGTACAGCACGAAGATTATTAGAATCAGCCATCGTCGTTTGTACACTTTCGTCTCGATCACCTGTGAGAGAATTATTTTCCAAATTAGAAAATTTTGTTTAAATATAAATTTTGACAATAGTAAATTTTCATCGAATTTAATTAAATTTTGCTAAGATAGTATTTTGAATCTTTAAATTTGATTATAAATTTTAATAGGATTCTTTTAATAGGATTTCTATTAAATTCTTTTATATCTAAATTCTTCTCTTTTGAAAGTCATCAAGATATCATTTTCACATCCTCTATTTTATTGTAATTGTAAAATCTTCTTAATTTTAAATGCTTTGGAAATAAATCCTTGGAAAATTCTTTAAGGATTTATTATCCTTTTTATTTAGATTATCTTAAGTTTGCTTTCATCGCAATTAATTTCTCTAATATTTACAATCCTTTAAACCTAATTTCCTTAATAGTTAATATTAAAATTTCCTATGCAATTTTTTTTAAACTTAAATTTCCATAAACTTTCTTATATTCTACCAAATCAAAATTTTTTTGTCAATATTTGAACATTCTCAAATTCACATATCCTTATTAAAAAAAACTTTCAAATCTAATAAAAAATATTCATGAGCAAAACAGTGAAAACTTTGTTTATTTATTAAAGATTTATTACATAAGATTACAAGTTTTAAATCGGCTCCCATTTCACAGACATTCTAGTCACCTGATTTGATTGCACGTTGCTCTCCATGGCTTTTATATAATCCGCCGAGCTTTTCATCATTTTTGTATCCAGCCCTTCTTCCATAATCCACGTAAAAAGTCAGTCAACGCTTTTATACCGACTTTTCACTGAATCTTATATTTCCAATACTTCTTTTGTATCTTTATTTTCTTCTCAACCTCCAAATAATTTTCTCAAATACTCGTTGTTTTCAAGTACTTTGTTTTCGATCGAACTGAATTTCTGCAAAAGATCGAAAAAAAAACAAGCATCGAAATTTTTATTAGAGACGAGAGAACTCTACTATTCTTCTTGTTAAATCTAGCCGCGAGAAAAGCTTAATAATTTCACGAGACTTCTCTGAAGTGCCAATTAGTGGCGAACAGGACACTCGAGATTTAATAGGATGCCTGAATAATAGATTTTTCGAATTAACATGTTGGAAAAACAATATACGATAACCCTTTCAGCATTCTTGTCAAGATAAGTCCTGATTATTGACATTTCCTTTCCTTCCAATTTTCCATTGTACAGCTTAAAATTATAATCGAATATTGCGATACCATTTCTCGCTCAAAAACATTGACTAATCAAGAAAAAAAATGATACAATGAAATAAATAATACTTAGAGTGCAAAGGGTGCATGATATAATCATGATTGTTTAGGTCGCATAAAGATTCTATCTTGGACCCTTTTCATCGAAGGGAAGACTAAATCTATTCGTATAATGGAACAAAATGGCAGCATCATAATTATAATATTGTCCACTTGAGCACGGATGTTGAGTTAGGGTTGTAGGAAGTAGGGGTTGGGAGTGTTATTATACTTGATATCATAAATGACACACTTATTATTTTGCGAATCAATATTAAATAAATTTCAAGGAGATATAAAACAGGCAAAAATTAATTTTTTAAAGAAACTCATAATACTCATATCATTTCGGCATTTCAAATTAATAAAATGTAATTTAATTTAATGTAATATTTATTACATTGAAGTAAATGTGAATTTTTTTAATTGTTACAATATCATTGGAAAACAAGTTATCATTAATTAAATGCTCTTAAATGAATTATTTATTTGATTTCCAAGTGATAGTCTGCGAGTTTTAATGAGTAATTATCGAATTGTTGTGTTAAAAAACATGATTTTTTTTTTTTATTCCCGAGTGATCTCAATTATCATCGTATAAACATGTATGTTTTTTTGTTGATAAATTATAATTATTGGCATTATTCTTCCATGTCGAAATGGCTTTAATATTAAGATTCAAGAGAATTATTAGAAACTTATGAATTTTAATTATTTTTACTGTGTTTAATTTAGATTTAGATTTATTCTGTGTTTAGATCCCCAAGAAAGTTTTTGAATTTTTAAAAATCTTGAAATCTATATTTTCGAATATGTAAACATATTTAAAGAATTTTAATAGTTAAGTTTTGAGAATTAGGAAGAATTTAAAAAATTTAATATCATAGTTTTCGAAAACTTAGAAAATCATTAAAATTAAAATCTCGAAATATTTCAATATAATAAAATTCTTAAATTTATATTTTTATTTATCTAAATATTCAAAAATTTAAACAATCTAAATTAGCATATTCTATAATTTAAACTTTTGAAATATTATATAAAAATTCTTTTATCTAAATTTTCTCTTGTCTCGATTTTTCAATTATCCAACAATTTTTGAATCGGAGTCTTTGTAAATCGAAGTACTGTTAAATTTAAATTCAATTTAATTTATCGTTAAATTTCCTTCAATCTCAATTTTATCGATCCTAAATTCACTTATAATTTACTCTTGTTTTGACAGAAAGAAAGAACATTTCCATAGAATCGGGTACAAAGAAATATAGAAATATCTGTAGAGAATTATATACAATATATAAATGTAGAAATATATCAATATATAAATGTAATATCATTATAATATACATATATTTAATTTATTTATATTTGTTTATTCAATGTTATCATTATTAAAGTTTTTTTTTTAAAAATTAAAAAATTTTTTGTTGAAATAAGAAGAAAATTATAAGACATAAAAATTCGAAAAATTGCAAGATTAATTTGTTTAAAAAAGGATTTAGAATAAGAACAATTTTATTCTGAAGAATTTTTATAGATAATTATTATCCAGCGACCTTGTGAATCGCACATTACTTTGTCTTAATTAAAATCTTTTAATAATGAATGAAAAAACAGCTTGGAATAATAACCATCGAACGGTTGTATGTCATGTATATGACATAAGCGTTTAACATAATGCATACAAATGCAATATCACACAAGAAGAAGAATAAGAAGAAGAAAAAAAAGAAGAATTATAAATTCTGAAATCTGAGCCTCGAAGTATTTAAATGTTTTAAAATAAAAGTTTGCAAATATTTAAGGATTTTTCAATTTATTTTTCTCTTTGGAATATTTAAAAGTATCTGCGAAATTTAAACTTTTTTTTGGAATTCATAAAGATTCGGAAAGAAATCACAGGATTCTTTTGAAATTAAACTTTATTTAAATTTTTGAATATTTAAAACCCAAAATATTCTCGAGTATATATATATATATTTCCAGTGTTTTAACAAATACAATGCAAACTCGTATTCTCAAAAATTAAATTAAACATCAAAGAGGAAATATATAATTCAAGATGAATAAAAAAAAAAACTTTCTAACTGGGACAGGACAATCGATATTTAAACATTTATCGCGAGGCATAAATCTCGATATTAAATGTACGATAATATTTTACAAATGTTCGAAACTCGAAAAATTTAATTAAAAAAGTAAAAGAAAAAAAAAAATGAAGGTAATTACTCTAGTACGCGTAAAAAACATCGATAAGTGAAGCTTTTAAACCAGCACTTTGACGAACTCGACTCGACGAGGCCATTTTTATAGGAAGTCGATGGAAGGTCGATCGTGAGTTCCGGAATTCTGGGTTTTAAGGTCAAGGATCATATATTATATAGGAATCATTTACTGTGCCGGCCATCTACACGTAGATTCTCCCCTACTTGGACGGAATTGCAAATTTCGATTTGAATTTACGACAAAATCCCATCAACTTGAATGCAAATTGTATTAACGTTTCGAACTTCGTATCAATTTTCTTCGTTGATAAAATTATTCGATGAATGATTAAGAAGAAAGGAATTTAACAGAGTTATATATCAATCGATAAAAAAATTCAATGGAATAGTTACTTGGAGGACAATAATATTACAAATAGAAATAATTTATAAGTTACAATCTTCTGTCTGAAAATAATTTTGTAGATCTAAATAAATTGTACGCGTGTAGAAAATTTCATGAAAATCGGTTGACGCGTAAAAAAGCTGTACAAGTATCGAAAGTTATAAAAATTTATTGCTATTGTAGGTCGTAAAAAATTGTGATTTTCGCCATTTTTAATCATTTACGGCTCGTAGCAACGGCTCGTTAAAAATTTAAGGATTTTTATATCTATTTATTTAAGGGATTGATAATATACGATAACACGTGGAATGGAATTAATTTTCTCTCTATTTAATTTAACGAAATCTCTACAATTTATATACTATTCTGCAATAGAAGAAAAATTTTTACCGTTTCTTTTAAATCGGATATCTTGCTCCGATTGAATCGGTTATCAAGAGAAAAGCCTTGATTTTATATCGTTTCAAAATATGTGTCGCGAGCGCCACTAATCGGTCGTTAAATACTTTTTTTTTTCCTCGTGAATCGAGGAAACAGCTTTGTTTCGAAGATTTTTTTTCATTCATTCACCCCTTCTTCCTCCTTTTATCGCTCACTTCGTATCCGCTCGGATACAATTGGAGACATTGATTCAAACGTTGTAATCAATGCTCCGAAGGTTGCTCGTGATATATAAAATAAACACGCGGCAAGATTTTTATGTTTGTCTTTTAAAAATGGAATGATCGATTTGAGATTGAATTCCCCTTTATACCACAAAATTTTTCTTCATTTACTCTCTCTTTAAGAAACTTTCGTTCTTTACTTTCGTATTTTAAAAATTGAACAGCTCTACGAAAAAAATTTTTTTCACAAAATTTTAATCCAACTTCTAAATTCTATTTCATATACCTCATCGATCTCATTTTTTAAATCCTTTATATTGGATAGAAGAGAATTGATTCTACGAGGGAGATAAAAACAAACAGAAATTTCGATTGAGATTTTATTTTTTTTTTTTTTCCTCCTTAATAGATAAAACAAGACGTGACAAAGAGCCATCTTACATTATCTTGTTTCACCAATAAGAAACTTGAACTTCTTATAGCATAATAAATAATTCTCAATCGATATTTTTGTACACAAACTTTTGCGTTTGTTTTGATTTCTAGAACTCTTCAACATGTTCCACGAAAGGATTATACTGCATTATAGCGATATTTATCATCGAATCATTTTTATCTTCTTAATTATATTTCAAATATAAGTTAAAGCCTTTAAACTCAATTTATACAATTCCCCATTCTCCCTTTTTCGAAAAAGCTACTCAATCTAATATTGCAATAAATCATCGTGTCCATAATTTAATCATTGTGTAAATTTTTTTACTATTTCCTTTTAATATATGATTCTCGCGTTTAAACTCGAGCATAGCTTTTTTTAACTTTATCTATTCCGAGTCAAATCGCATTGTAAAACCATTAACTGTGAACATTGAAGTTATCGTTTTAAACGTCGTCATTTTCCATAATTCGTTTACCACTTGTCCATTCTATTTTGATTGAAAAAAATTATTATACACGAGAACAATGATCTCTGAACCGGAATCGAAGTCAAAAATCTTACTTACCTGACACGCGACGATCTCTCGGATCCACCGATCGACGAACGAGAGACAATCGTCTCACGAGAACGCGCCTTCTTTCAACGCGTCTCATAAAGTTACGTTTCTACTTTTCCTTCCCGTTTCTTCCACCTTACCAAATTTCTCACCTTCAACAAATCGACAGACAGAATGAAATCAGAATAAATGCACACGAATCACTCGAAAGAAGACACACGAGAGAGACGGACACGGGCCGAGTCCACGTGGATCTACGCAACTTTTGCTTCTACGCCGGCCGCTTAAACGTCGATATCGCCTCGGTGTTTTAATTTTTTCGCGATTAGTCACACGGCTTGCGAAAACGATAAAACAAACCTCGAGCGAGCGAGAAAGAGAGAAAGAAAGGAAGGAGAGGATAAAATTTTCAAACGAACA